ATCGAACCGTAGCCCCTGGCAGCTGTATGGGCGCAGCGTAAAAGTGACGCAGGCGGACTTGGCACAGTTTATAGCGATGTTCCACATAGCTGTCCAGGTTTCGATCTGCAGCAGCCAGTCCTGCACTGCACTTGTAGCAGCTTGCAGATTTTTGTGGGAGGCTAGGAAGGCAGTGTCGTCCGCATATGTTGCCACCAGCAGTCTCGCAGGGCTGAGGTCTTCATTGCTTTGTCCTTGTGTGGGCAGGTCCGCCGTATACAGCGTGTACAGCATCGGACCGAGGACGCTGCCTTGTGGGACACCTGCTCTGATGCCCTTAATTGCCGACCTTTGGTCTTTAACGGCCACTTTAAAGGTGCGTCCTGCCAGAAAGGAGCTAAGGATGCTGAAGTATGGCGCTTTTTTTTGCTCTATACGCACTTTGTGGAATTTTAAGCGTATTATGAAGTTGGCTGAGAGCTGGCACTAAAACTGTCCAGCGTTGTGAAAAATTAAAGATTTTTCAATTGTTAAGTTTTTGTGAGTATTAAAATAAAATTATAGATTTACTAAAAGAAATAAGCCGGCTTCGCCTGATACAAATAAATAATGGTACAAATGCAAATGAGGCCTAAAGGAAAATTCTGTTTAAATGAATTAACAAAGCGCTATATAACTATATATATGCTCTTTAGTTTGCTGCGAGTTTACAATAGATATTTTTGTTAATGTTTTCTTTTCTAGTAGAGCATTCAGCTATCGACTTGTCCAACTTAAAAATTTCATTCATTTTCATTTTCAGTGGCAGTTAGGATTCAGTTATTTTACCATCTTTTTTTTCCGGTTCTCTATGCTCGAAAATTTATGACACACGCCAGCAATTTGTGTGCAACAAGAGCTAAAAAAATTTGTTGCTATCGTGTGGCAGCAGTGTTACAACAACAACAACAACAACAACAACAACAACAGCATGCGTAACTGCAACGTAAAATAGTTCGATATGTGGGCTTGCGGGGTGACGACTAGACACCGAGCATTATTAAAAGGTAAATATTGCCCAAGGAAAACAATAAAAAAAAAAAACAAGTGAAGAAAACCCACAAATCCAAAAATGTTCGACAACTGAAAAATTTTTATGCGCTTTTCCATAGTTTTTCGCAGACGACGAATTTTTGATTTTTTTGAGATTTACGAGACAGTTGAGGGGCAGCACATAAATTCCAGTGAACCATAGCACACACACACACTCATCGCTCACACACTCACTCGCACACACACTCACTCGCACACACACACACACACTTGTACACCCGATTGCATGCTGTTGTGGCATTCTCAAGTGCATTTAATTAGAGCGTCGTCGTCTTTCCTATGCCTTTGCTAGAGAGAGCTGAGTATGTTATTTTTTTGTTCATGTTCTTTGTTTGGCATATTTTCCATGTCTCCAATTAAAATGAATGCGTTCATTGATCCGCCTTCGGGTTGGGGTGGGCGACGGGGTCGGAACCGAGTGCGGGTCCAAATGTTTGGGGCCGCTGCTGCTGCTGTTGCTTATCGGGCGCTATAAATCTTGATACGCTGTCATGTTCTGTCTAATTAGCAATATGTCAATAAACTTAATTTAATTTTTCTTCTGTTCGCCTCGCTTCTGTGTGGCATGCGAGTGCCTGGGGGCGTGGCATTGCTGCCGTTTGAGTGGGGGCATATTTTAAATATTGCTCTTGCCGCTTTTGTTGTTGCTGCGGTTGCATTTATTGAATATTTGCAGTCAGCTCTGGCATTCACGTGGAATGCAATCTGTTCTTTTTCTGGTCAGTTTGGTCGAGTTGTTTGTTTTCGACTATTGTTTTATTTGATTTCATTTAAATTGTCGCTTTTATTTTTCGGGAAAATCAGCTCATTTCGATTTATTGTTTTGCATTGGATTTCAAATTGGAAGCCGAGCAGAGTGCAAGAGATGAAAATGTGACATGATAGCATGAGGGTACTTGTGTTTGGGTTGCTCTAAATGATATTTTAATGGAATGTACATGATCATGCGAGAAATGGAATTGGAAATTTGATCAAGAGCTTGTAAATTGGAAAATAGCATTTGTCAGTTTATGTTTGTAGCAGAAGCAGGATCGATTACATCGGAAAACAAACATATTATGAATACTTATGCATAGATCATAAAAGAATATGCATTATAAATAGCTCGAAATATAAGATTTAAGAACCTAAGTGGGCTGAAGTCTAAAGAATTTAAAAAACCTATAACAATACATTTTATAGTGGTTTTTGTGGTCAGCAAAGCTAACTTCCTTTTTTAGTTTATACATAATGTTATTACTATTATACTAATTTTATTAAAAAGTATATATATATATTAATATATTCATATTAAATTGTATAAACTATGCATAGACCACCGGAAGTATTCTAAAGTCGAGAGATTTTATTGAAGATAAAAAAAGCACATTATTTGCATATTGCTCGGAAGAATATAATATAGATCGCTACGAAGGACTCCTCATGATATAAACATAAGAGAAGCTACATCATTTTATTACATATCTCTTTAATCCAAAATGGAATATGCCTTCCCAGAGACAAACCGGAATATCAGCAACTCTAGTAACATTGAATATTTAAATCCATAGATTCTCATCAAATTTCCAGAGACCGAATTTAATTGAAATGCACATGAAACTAAGTAACAACTGAACATTATCCTGCTCACACTCCGATGCGCGGCTTAAATGGAAATCCGACAAACCTCCGAATGCCATCAAAATGCATCATCAAATTGCGGCAGTTTGCACCTTTTATATAATTTCCTTTAATCAATTATGTGTAACGGCAGCTACAACAATAAATGCAACAACAACATGCGAATCGACGGCAACTGAATGCAATAATAATGGCAAATTCAACAAATTTACGGCTCAAAATGCGCGTCGACTGTCAACATGTTGAAAATAAATTACAAAACATTATTAGCATAGCCAGCGGGGATGATCGATGGGCGGTGTCAGTGGGTGGGCGTGGCCACAACCATGTCCAAATCAAATAAATTACCAAAAACAAGTTCTATGTGCCGAATTTCTGATAATCTATGCTGTGAGATGCCCTAGAAAAGGCCATTTGATGGGGATCGTAATTTGTTCAACTGCAGAATTTACAATAATTAATTATTTCAGAGAGTTTAATGATGTTAATACAATAATAGAATATATAAAATGATTTCATCAAAATTATAAAAAAAAAAAATCAAAATATAGCTACAACTTTTATGTGTAAAAAAGTGTAAAATAGTAATATACCCAATGAATGCCAATAATACAGGGTATAAAATTGGTCACACAAATTGCAATGTACAGACAGACCCATAGTCGAGGAACAAATGTCATGTAATAAAATTTATTGTTGGTTTGGGGTTTTTGGCGATATTGGCAGTTGCGAGATGGATCAATGTTTGACCTGGAGACAGCTTCCGTTTGCAAGCACACACACATACAAGCACATGAGTTTACCCAGATATATGCGCGCATATACACGGACTTACTTCTATTTAATTAAAGTCGATGTGAACGCATTAAAAGTGCCATGTTTAATCATTGTTTGATAATTTGTCAAGCCTCAGAGAATTGGTCGACCGTAAATGAAAATGAAAATTAATTGATAAACGCTGATAAATACGTTTAATTTGCAACCAAAAATCACATTAATTGCATTACACACAACAAGCATACACACACACACACACACACACACACACACGTACTGAAACGCAGATCAAAAGGCAAAAAACTCCACAGCTAATGGTCAACCAGAGCCGCATCAGGTCATGCGGAGAGGGAGGGTGGGGAGGGCCTGGAGTAGGAGTGGCAGGACCAGCAGAACCAGCAAAACCATCAGACAACAGCGACAGCAACCACCAGTCAACAGCAGCACGACGAGTTCTCAGTTCTCCACACAAACACACACACACACACACACATACACAGGTATCCTTCGTATTGTGCACAATTAGTGACACAGCGAGACCCAAGTGGACAATTCCTGGCTACAGGGGACACACACTACAGATAACGCTGGCTGCCAGGTACGAGTATTTGGCTCAGGTTATTGTTGCGCGCGCGCGTGTGTGTGTGTGTGTTTGTGTGTGTGGACTAACCCCTCATTGAATATCTCCGCCAGCACTCACATCATTTGGCTCTGCTATGTTCCATGTTGTTGTCAACAATATGCGAAATTAAAGCCAGCGACTCTCCCGGCGACGCCCGTCTCATTGTCCTGTCCGTGTGTATCCTCTGCACGTAGTTTGACGGTTTCGTCGATTGGCACACATCTGCGCAAATCGAATTAATGTTCACGCATGATTTGGATCTGTATGAAGGATCTTCTAGTGGGTGGCCGGTGCTTAGTTACGCCTCCAGCAGAGTGTAGAAAAATTAATTAAGCAGCTTGTTATGAGACGCACAACAAGGCTTAAGTAGGTAAAAGACAAATGAATCTGATGGATAACACAATACTGGAGTATAATCGTGGTTGCAAAATGAAACGAGCTGTTAAATATATATAATAATATATTCAGCAGCGAATCGAAAACCTCAGACAGATTAACAAGAATACTTCAGTTCCTGATGTTTCGAACAGACAGAGGCATATATCATATGAATCTTATTCAAAGGCCTAGCCTGGATAAAAATATTCTTGTTTAATTATGATTTTTAATTGTATTCAAATTCTCAATCTTCAATTAACTACTATACTATTATATATATACTATATACTAACAATCCTGTTAGGTTTTATTATATCTTACTTTATTTTCTAAGCAATTTGTGTATTGTCCCAAGACAGATTGCAAATAAAAAGCGAACTAAAAAAGAAAAATCAATATATTACCAAACCCATCCTCTTTTTGTATCCCTAAGCTCTTATATCTTCCATAACATAAGATTTGCTGTTCTCTCTTAAAAATCGACCTTTAAATTGGCTGCGAGTCAAATATTCGGAAATTATCTATTTGAGCAAGTCGCAATAGTCAAAAACCAAGTATAGCTCACATTTTCACTCGATACCAGTTAATTGCTTCTTTTTTTTTTGTTGATCGCCCACACGCAACCTTCATAGATTGTGATAGATTCTCAAAGTGTTAATCACTTTCCAATACCTTCACGAATTGGAAATAGACAACAGCTACTTAAATATTTAAATACAAACAATGCAATGTCAATATGGCTATTGTTTATAATGTGTTAGCTAATCGCTCACTAACAATATTTGGCAAAAACAGTTCGCAAGCAGCTGCGTAAACCTGCCAAATCTCTCGCACCTGAGGTGCTATATAAATTCATCAAACTGATTAAAGTTTATCATTCGATTGTTGCAATTACGTGAATTTAATTAAATTAAGATGAGCAGCAGTTTGATTATTCTCGGCTGTGCCTTTCTGGCAATACTTATGGCTCACCTGCCAGTGGGCGAGGCAGTCACCTGTGCCGAGGAGCCCAACAATATAGATTGTGTCGACTGTACGGCTGAAATTAATATAGATGACGCCGAATGCATTGCCGAGTATGAAGACTACGAGGAATACAACGATGGTGATGTGGATACTATAACCCGACGTCCAGGCAGGCGACCTGGCTGGAGGAGGGGCGGCAGGCGCGGTGGCAGACCGAAAACCATCTTGGGAAGCATCCTGCAGAAGAAAATGCGCATTATCAAGGGAATAAAGCAAGGCTAAATGAATGATCTTCTTTAAAAGTGTGCCATTAAAGAAAAGCTAGTTAAAAATTAAACGTAAACTGTGTGCTACTTGGGCCATTTATTAATTTGGTTAACTGATAAACACAAAAGTCATCTTTAAGTTATTAAAATAATCAAGGTTTAAAGTATATGGATTTATTTAAAATTATTGCTATTACTAAAAGCATATCCAGCCGTCGTATTGACAATAATTATATAGAAAAGAGTTACGTTTCAATTGTGAATTGTAGCTTAAATCTTGCTACCCCTTTGACAGCTCTGTTGAGCACACAAATTTGTTTGAAGTGTGCTCAATAATTTGTGAAATTCAATTTGTAATTTCAGTAATGTGCTATCTGATAAATGTACAAACCCATCTGCAATTAGTGCAGTTGACAGCATATGATATCCCATTTATGTGTACCTCGTAATTGCATTCGTTGCCTGCCAGCAGCTGGTTTTGCTGGCAAACCCTTTTTGCCTACTGTCTGATCGTCTCTCTAACTGCGCCTCTTTTCCGGCGCACACATCTGCGCTTAATGCACTTTTGTCTAGCCGCATGCGGCAGCCGTTTTCTGGCCGGAAAATCCAAACAAAGCAGCATAGAGAGTATAGCCTCGTAGTTATTGAGTCAGTTATCAATGGCGCCAACTGCTGCCCAGCCAGCCTTTTACCAACTGGCAAGCTTACTAATTTGAAGCACCAAACTCGCTGCACTTGCGCCCCAATCTCCAATCCCCAATCCCCAGCTTTAGCTTGGAGCTGGCAATGCCAATGCCAATGCCAAGCATTTTGCCAGTTTCTATTGCGTGTCGCGTCTGCCAAAGTCAGTTGTTGTTGTTGTTGTTGTTGTTGCTGTTGGCTTTGCCAATATGTCGAGCTGCTGCTGCTGTTGCCAGTAAACTGCTGATAATTAATATTTTATGCACACGTCTGCGTTGATTTCTATCTTTATTGTTGTTTGTCTACCACCGTCGCGTCCTGCTGCTGCTGCTGCTGCTGCTGCTATATCCTGACGTTGGCTTTGTCGCTACTTTTTTTTTTTTTTTGCCGCCGCCGCCATTGTTTGCCCAATGGCAACGCCTTTCAATGGCTTTTCATTTGGAAAATGTCTGCACGATGTGCGGCTGCGGTTCATTACACTTTCTGTTTAGCCACCGAAGGAATTGGCCCCACGTTCTGTGTGGGTTATTAAAAGTCTATTAAAAATTCACGTTCAATGCCTTCTCTCTTGTTATTTTTTTTGTTTTTGCTCTCTATCGATGGCCCCCATATTTGCCATAAATTAAGTGGAAAATGTAGCCACACTTATTATGCTGCATTGTGTTTACGTTTACTACGGATTTCGCATTATTTTACTTCTTTTTTTTTTTATCACACTTGGCAATTTGTTTGTCTTTGGGCTTTGCGAGGGCTAAATGTTTGCCAGCTCTTCAAGTTGCCACCGTTCGGGGCATGCCTTATCTGAACTCTGTGGGACTATTCAAACCGGAAATACTTATGTGCCCCAGCCAGAAAGTACGTATCTTTGTGTAGTTTCAGTTTTCGGTTTTCAATTTTCGATTTTTCAATTTTAATTTTATGTCACTTCATTTAAGCAGTCGCTCACCTCAACGTCTGACATTAGGCAGGTGTTTGGCCCATGGCTGCGATCTATGCACCGGCTCTCTGGTTCCAGCTATGTCATTTCCTTGTTTTGCGACTGACTGAGGTGCGAGTATCTTGTATTGCAATGCACTTTTAATTTTCTTGACTTCTCCTTGTCAATGTGCAGTCCGGGCGCTCCAGAGCATTAACTGTAGGGGGCAGTGGTAGGAGGCGGGTGAGATAAGTGTCATGTGTGTATTGGGTGTCTCTGTGAGTGCTGGCTGCCAGAATGATTGACAGCTCTGTGTTTGTGCACTGGGCAAGCAAAAATAATTTGAATACTGAACGGAAACGGGGCCACAGTTTTAAGCAGACAAGATTATCGACACACACACACACAAGAGTTCAATAATTCCCTGTGACCAGTTCTTTTTTCAAACTTGCGAGTTTCTTCCAATATAGATTATAGAACCTTTCAGCTTGATTGCAATTCATAAAACCCAAATCTATGCATAAGTGTAGTAGAAACATAAAGAAGACCTTTCCATTTTCGATAGTCTATTTGTTGACTAATTATACTGTCCATTTATATATCTTTAATATGTGTTTTAGGAGAGGGGGACAAATAGATGAATGTATTTACATTCTTCTGCATTCATAGCACATTCCTTTACATCAATAGTGCATATTGCTCAGCACATATATCTTCTTTAATTATCTATTGGTTCCAGGCCTTTTTAGCCAAATATTTTACTTGTCATATCAACTAGTACCCCAAAAGAATTTGTTAGTTTGAGTGACCACGTCAAGATATATCATTAAATATTAGAGATCCCAGCTGGAATGTTGCACTCAGATTCTTTTACCACACAGCTGCTCCATTAGTTCGTCATGCATCATTTGTAGTAGTTGCTATGTGGTTATTCCCTTTGGGGAAATCAAACATTATTCTTTGGATACATTTTCCTTTGCAGCCTCAGCTCCTTCCCCAGCGTCTGCTTCTCCTTAGCAAATGTCGTTTAATTGCGCTCGACTGTAAACACGCATAGAGACAAACAGAGAGAGAGAGAGGGGGGAGTGGAAAGGGAGACATTGCATGCGTGGAGTCAATTTTCCTAGGAAAAACCCAGAAGGAAAATGTGTAAATAGTTCACTTGAATACGCCTCATGTCCCCGTCTAGTTACTTATTGATAGACCCGAGTTGCTCGGACTTGAAACGCGGCTCGAATTCAAATAGCTGCATTAAATTTTAATTATATTTTTCTTTTTTTCTGCTTTAGGGAGCTGACAAAACAATGCCAAAGTTTCATATTTCATGGGCCAGAAAACGCTGTTGTCCCTACGGAAAAACTGTTGGTGGAGTTTATAATTGTTTTACTGCATTTCACATTAGTTGACAAATTGAACAATGAGTCGACAATTGGGCCGGAAGGGGTACAGTGGGTACAGTGGGACAGTGGGTGCGCAGGGCGCGGCTGCGTGTGAAAATGATTGTTAATTGGCGTTTTATTGATTCTTTGATCAATTTGTGTGCACGAGGTTCGGGAACTGAGCCACATGTCGAGCGTTCGCCTGCCAGTTCTGTGGAAAAACCACTCGAAGGCGACGCTACTGTCGGCTAATGTGAAATATGGCACCCAAACTAACAAACAGAGCCAAGCGGCACTTGAGATCATGAATTTTTAATGGTACAGCGCCCGAGGTCCTGCCAGGCAAGCCAGTCCTGGCACACAGCCAGGCGGGCCCAGCGATAATAATGACAATGATTAGTGTTAAATGCGCCGCGTGCGCCATTTTCTAAACAAAAAGAAAACGAAACGAGAGAAAAGAAAAATATGTTTTCTTAATAGTTTTCAAGGCCCCACGGCGGGTCGTTTCACAAATGTCCTGGCGCCTATGTGCTCTCTTTGTTTTTGTCAACGCTGCATAATTAGACGCCCGCCCTCCGCCCGCTCACTGCGTGTGTGTCTGTGTGTGTGTGTGTGTGTGTAATGTGCTGTCGACATTTTGGGTTATTTATTTCGGGCCACGCACTGCGGTAAATTGTGGCACTTTCCCCGCGACATCGCTGATAGGCACAGCCAAAGGACAACGAAAGTTGGACACAAACTCTGAAGGATGGCGTGTGCTTCGCTGGCGATGGTAATGCTAATGGTAATGGGCTTGGAACCGCTTATCAGCTGTGTTTGTTTGGCACAACATGTGCCTTCAAGTTCATAAAATATGACACTAATGTCTGCTGAGGTCCGTGAATATGTCATATGTAGATCGACAGATAACGGAATTACTCTTTCATTATTGTTTTCTTTTTGGGTCGAGCGATTAGTTTTAAGTGTTTTTTTGTGGTGCGTATAATGTGTTCTCAAGACTATCTATCTAGATTTATCTATAAGATAGCATCTCTTGTTTGGCTTACGGTGGATATTTGCTTAGGCAGATAATTAAAAGAATTATTCCTGTGCTCTAAGACTATTAGAATTAACTATATTAACTAAATGATTTGCAATTTCATTGGCAGCAATCCTTTAATATAATATATATATATATAAGTTGTTTACTCGGCAGTGCTTGACTAGAGATACCCTACACCCAACGCGGGTTGCTGTTTCCAATATTCAAGCTTGCTTCTATGCATGCATACAACAAACACATACTCACACACACACATCGCTGGCTAATAAAAACATACATAAATAACATCACAACTAAATGAGAGACACTCACGCTCTTGCCTCCTCTCTCTCGCTCTTGCTCTCTGCCGCTCTCAGGCCACAAATTTGCGCCATTTTTGGCTACGTGAAAAAAGCTCCGCAGCACAAAATTGCCTACACAAATTTCACCAACTGTTTATGTTATTTAACTATACGCAAAGAGTATGGCACTTATTTACGGTTGTTCTAAATACACACACGACACGAACTAATTACTTTAAATGTCACTTAAAATAAATAATGCTTTATTAAATGAGATTTTATTCACACGCGCGGACTTCATGTTCGATCAAAAAGGCAGAGGCGCACAAACTAAATTGCCATATTTAGCGCAGCCTACGCTCTGTTGCCTAACTCTTCCCTCGTCTGTAGACAAGCGCAAAGCACGCTCCGCACTCGCTTGCGGCTGCATATTAACATAACGGAATCAGCACTGGACCTCTCCCGCTCTTTCTATCTGCAATGCTTGTGCTCTGAAAGGAGCTCAAGTATGTAACGGGATCAAAAGCATACAGCGTCGACGTCGACGACGTATCGAGCAAAGGAGTTATTTGCCTGAAACCAATGATTAATAAACAGATGTAATGGCTCTCCACTCTCTCTTTGGCCACTCTCTTTATAAAAGCTCTCTTCCGGCATTGCGATCGGGTGTTGTTACAATCAATGCATACAGCACACACAAGCATATATGCTTTAAACTTGGTCCTACGAAAAATGATTGTTTATACGATCCGGTAAAGTATATTTATACATACATATATATATTTGATATAGTCGATGAAGTCGTGGCTGAATGAACGCTTAATTTCGGAGACTGCAAAAGCTAAAACTTAAGATTTTCAAATGTCATATTAATGGGAAAGAGAAAGAGCATCTATAAAGATCTAAGTAGGCATTCATTTTGGGCTATATATCCACAGTGTAAATGTAAATGTTATATTTACTATGGAGTACAGGGAATTTTGTAGTCTTACTTGCCTGCCTCTTACTTTCACCCCCTCTTACTTTCCTCCCTCTCACTTTCCTCCCTTCATTGTCCAGGCAATCTTATCTCTACTGTGTTTTACTTCGCATTTAAAGCATTTTCTTAACCACAATTTTTTATGGGCTCTTCTGCTTTTGACTTTCTATCGCAAAGCAAACGCCTTTCGCTGCTTGAGCTGAACTTTGTTCCATTTACCCTCGACTGTTTATCAATTGACGGGCAAGGTCTGGCGTCTTACCTTCAGTCCGTGCAACTCCCGGCTGATATGTCCACTTCATTAAGTTGGCCAGGGCAGCCAGGGCCACTTCAAAGCCTCAGCCCGTGCAGAGCAAAAGGAAAAGGAAAACCCGTCCGTAGCGACGGGCACTTTTCTGCTGACCAGGAGCTAGCTTTCACTTTATTTCGAGAGGCCCGCACCTTGAGAACAAAAGGCCGCTTTGTAGATGGACCAGATGAACAGCAACGGACGCAAACCAATCAGCGGAACCCTTGACAAAGCACACAGCTCAAAGTAGGCGAGGGGCGTAAGGTCAACGGGGTTGGGGGCTAACATACACACGGTATTCACGATAATATTCCATCATAGCAACATTTTTCGGACAGTTAAGAAACCCGTTTTTATATCAACTCCAAGCGTTGTTTTCTTTTCCTTCGGCTACTCGATTTTTCCTACAACCCGTCAAACGGATTGTCCGCTGCCGTCAGCCCTCGCTCCATCTCCTTCTCCTTATCCATTGCCATTGCCATTGCCACATCCAGTTCCATTTTCATTTTCCCTTCTCGATCGGCCTCAAGTGCAATTTTCAATCATGCAATTTTTTGCCCTGCATTTGCTGGCAATTGCAGCTGAGGCTCCGTTTTCCTCATTGTGCCCCGTGCCATATGTGCGTGCGTGCGTCTGTGCGTCTGTGTGTGTGTGTGTGTCATGTCCTTGTGCTGTCTGTAAGTGTGTGTTGCGCCCTTCGTCCTGGTCCTCGTGTGCGCGCGTGTGTGTGTGTGTGTGTGTGTGTGTCAGCCGCTGTCATTCATTCATGCGGCCGTCTGAAGGCTTTTCATTAAAAATCGTTTAATCCACGCTATCATTTTCCCGCTGCCTGTGCTTTCTCTTTTTTATCGCCCTCGTCCTCGTGCTGCCCGACCCCGTGCCGTTTGCCAATTGCTCATTGATGCAAACGTCATTTGATTGTCGTCATTGTTGCATTGACAACGACGCAGGCGACGTCATCAGCAGCAGCAGCAGCAGCAGCAGCAGTGGCAGCAGCAGTGGCAAATCGAGGAGCTGCTGCAATAGCAGCCCGTCAGCCGGATGTTGGCTCTTCAATTTGTTTTTCATGTTTCATATCCTGTCACGCCCCCGTCACCGACTGCCTGCCCGCCGACCGCCTGACATGTGCTCTGCGGTTGTGTGCACGGCGCACTTGAAAGTTTTTTTTTTTTTTACGCTCGGTAATTATTGGATTTGCCACGGTCCGCCTAATTATGGCGCAGCACGTGGGTGCCACAAAGTGTGAGCAACAGTGAGAGCTAGAGATGGAGAGAGGGAGGGCGGCGAGAAAGCAGGCTGGAGAAAGTGTGCAAACGTTGTCCTTGCATTAGCGCATCGTTGAACCGTGAAAATAATGGCCTCGACCCGGCACTCCGCATTGCAGTTCAGCTGATACGAAAGCAGACGACGACACGCGGCCACTTGAGCAAGTTTTTTTTTTATTTTTAATTTTTGGTTTTCGGATGAAGTGAAGCGGGGGAGCGGATCGTGGGGGGGAGCTATGCAGCTGAAGAGCTGGCAAAAAGTTTGCTCTGAAATTGTCCGAGATTTCAGAGCGTGTCGATTAGTAATTGAGAGTAACTGGGAAAATTAAAAAAAAAAAACAACTGCACCAGCACGATGGTTCAAAGGTAAATTTGATAAATCTTTGAAGAAATTGTGTACTTAAGAATATGCGAGGAAAATTAAGAAACTGAACCAGCAAGATGGTTAATAAATTCATTTTATAGATTTCTGAAGAATTTATTTTAAATTTTTGTCTAACTTTTGTGGGAATTCTAAGGGGTATGCTGGGCAAACTGAGCCAGCAAGAAGGCTCAAAGGCGAATTTTCAAGAAATTTGAAGTGAAATTTACTAATATTTCGTCATACGATCAGGTATGAGATCCTTTTATAAATAGCTAATAGTAAGCTGGCTGACTTCAAAAGATCTTTGTCTGTCTTGGAATCAATAATATATCCTTGAGGAGACTCTAAAAGACTCTTTCATGTTATCTATGCCTCATGTGATAATACTAAACGGGAATCTTAGAGTACACACCGTTTGGCCTTGATATGTTTTCCACCTATACACACAACATTTTAAACTTTTGTTGTTTAGAATAATTATTTTGGTCATAAAGTATTATTAATACCTAAATGCTGTCACACCCATTGTCAATTTCTATGATGTGTATGCCATTTAGAAACCTACTCATTACCAAAGTGGTTTCATGGTGTTAACTCATTTAATCACTTATCCTAGCAACCAGCCAAGTTTCATTGTGGCAAGCAAATGCTGCTCGCATTTTTCAACAGTATCATTAAAATTAACCCAATAACAAATGGAGCCAAAAAATGACAACAATAATAACAAGTCGATGCTTCATTGTAGATGATATTAGCTTTCTTCACTCCCTTTCTTTCTCTCTCTCTCTCTCTTTCTCTCTCTCTTTCTCTCTCTCTCTCTCGAATATCAGAAACACCCGAACAATTAAAGTCATTACCCGGCTATCATGTTTATAGTTCGGCTCGCAACCGCCGCCGTCGAGCGAAACTCTAAGCTCCGGGCAAGGTCTCATGTGTCCGTTGTGTATGTGTGTGTTTGTGTGTCGCCCAACTGTAAGCTGCCACAAAAACTTTGGAAAGCCCCAGCCGCGCTCCAAAGTGCCAGTCCGCCCGAAAATTCCGACCCCACCCAAACGTTTAGCATACAATTAGCCCAAAAGGCAACGCACTGGAAGCCAGGCAAAAACTTCAGTGAAAATTATTAAAATTTCTCATGCTGGGTCGTTGCTCGAAAAGGGTTGACCATATGGAAATTAGCATATGATACCCATTTTGTGGCCCGGCCCTGCCCGAACCCAAGCTCAGGCTGCACACTTTAAGCTTAAAGTCGCTGCGAATTCATGTCTAGTCATGCGGCATGAACTTTAGTGTGTAAAAAAAAAAAAAACAGGAAAATAGAAAAAGTCGACGAGTTATGATTTTCCATTTTCCACATTGAGTATTTTTCTATATATAGTGCTCTTTTTTTTTTGTCTCTTTTTCCGGCTGCTGTTCTTGCTTTTTTCTCAGCGTAAATTTTCCACCTTTTACACATTTTACTTCCATTTGATTAGATCGGCTTTTTAGGGCGACACGTGCGTCCCATGCAGGAGGCAACAACGCCTCGCATCCTGTTTTGTTTTCATGACTCCGCCTCTTAAATTGCGTTCGAAATACACTTTCTCTTGTCGGCATCATAACATTGTTGTTGCATTTGTAATACGACGCCGTAGGTAAGCAGTATTTACAATGTTGTAGGATCACACAGAATCTTAATAGCTGATCTTTAGCAAACTTTCAATAATACTTATTATTAAAAACGTTTTCAGATCTAACGAAACATAAACTTATGTTAAAAAAAAAAACAATATAATATATCACAAATGCCATAGGATTGTAACCAGGATTCTCGGAATCAATCGAGAATATATGGACTTATTCATATTCAATATTTCTTGCCTAAAAACTTCTGAATATAAAAGCAAATATAAAAGCAAAAAGCAATAAAAGTTAACCTTTTTGAATATTGTTAAAACTTTTTTTTAGATATATATTTTGTTCAGCTTTTCTATCTTTTTTTGTATGTTTGTTTTCATTCTTATCTTTAGTTAATTTTTAATTTAATTAATTTTTTGGAGAACTTTAAAATATTATTTATTTTAAATTTTCCAAGCATTTATAAATTTTTACTCAAATGCCTGAAGATTTAGCTTTGATATTCAACATTTCTAAGACCTTCTAAACGTTATAGAGAGAAAAATATATCAATAGTTGGTCTAATGAGTATATTTATAACTTTTTTATAAACATTTTAAGTATAATTTTTCATTTTCATTCATATTTTTTTATTATCCAAGTAAGCGTATTGCCATGTCGGCGTGCCGCATGTAAAGTTTCTTTTTATTTTTTTTTTAAATTCACTTTTTTATAGAAATTTGCACGCTCATCGTTTGAGAGTTTTAAGGCTTATCAGGCCAGGCAGCAACTTAGTCATAATCAACATCAAACAGGCTCGCAGTGTTGGCATCATGAGCAGCAGCTATTATTATCCGGTGTCCGCACTTTCAGCCCTGCCAGGACACTTCTGATCAATGTGCTTAAAATCGACGTGATGTTTGGCTCGTCTCCTGCCGCTGTGCGAAAAGGATGTCATCAGCAGTTGGGAGTGCGTTGCAGCTGCGGCTTGTTGTGTGTTGATTAAAATTTGTTTGTCATTTCGATAAGGTACGACTTTTTAGTGTCGAGTTCCCGGCCCCGTGCCCTTCCCCGTCCCCGGCCAGGCAGTTCAATAACCCAGCCTGGCCGCTGTGCTCTATCTGTATCCAGAGAGCCTGAATCTCAAATGAGGGGCTGAAAGTGCTCATCGTTTCAGTTTTTATGTCATGTTTGAATGCTTTTCTTTCTTTTCTTTTCTTTTCTTTTCTTTTTTTGTTAATTCTTTTCCTCTTTGGCAAAATCACTTGTACTAAACCACCGAGCTTTAATTTGGCATTTGCTTTTTATGCCTTGTTTTTTTCTTATTGACACCTTTGAAGGCGGCACAAAAATCAAAAAATAA